CCCCAAAACCCCAAAACCCCAAAACCCCAAAACCCCATTGAATTTAATATCTATCTTAGAGTTAAGCTGAAAAAATAATATGTTAATTATAAGTGGAGGAGTTAAAACAAATAACACCTTACTCAGTTCATTAACTTCATACTGTTAATCTCGATTTTATTATTTGACTTTGAGTAGATTTCTTTCAGTTTTTATTGGCAAGTCAAGATGATCTCGGTATTCTTCTCCTCTTTGTTTTTCATTAAGATATCAAGCTATTTACAAGTCTACAATAGTCCCCAAAGAGCGCGAGATAGCATATTTGATTTGTCATCCTGCATGGTCAGGGCATGAGAGTAATATTTTCTGGCAAGATACAAACTATCCAAATTATCAGCTCCACCTTAACTATAAAGCATTTCTGCATATCTAAGATTAACTATAAAGTTGTTTGGCTGAAGAGAGAGCACCTCTTCGTAGCAGAAGGAAGCTTTAGCATAGTTTTGTTTGGCTAGGTACATGTCAGTCAATTCAAGCCATGCCTCCATGTCTTGTTGATTGTTTTCAAGATATTTATTGAGCAAAGTAATAGCATCAGAGAGATGATTTCTATCTCTTTCTAATGCCACTAATCTCTTAACAGATTAGGTATCGTTTGGATTCAGTAAAATCAGTTCTTGATAAATTTCTTTCGCCTTTTCATGATCTTGAAGTGCTTCGTAAAGCATTCCTAGCATTCTCATTGACTTAACAGACTAGGTGAACTTTGAGGTGATAATTCTCAAGAAGGCGTTTGCCCAATCAAGTTATTTGATATCAAGAGCAGCGTAAAAAGCCTCTTCGATTAAATAATAAGCTAAAAATTTTATGTTTAGAAAGTATTATGATTACTAGACTCATTAACGTGTGAACTGTACTTTGTTACAATCTCGATGCCCCTCTCAAGAATAAGTTCTGAATGACTAATAAATGAATCATTAAATATCATAAATATACGATGCTTCTCTTTAAAGAATAAGGTAGTCTAAGAGAGTTTTAGTATCACCAAACGACTTCTTTGATCTTTCAATTAGATTCTTCAGATGCTGCTGATGATTTTTAATGTCTTTGTCCATTAAATAATATGTGTTTAAATTATAAAATAATGATATAATTCCTTGATCATGAATATTACTTGAAGAGGGGTTTTGGGGTTTTGGGGTTTTGGGG